AGGGGAGAACCCCCCAGGGGTTTTGTAAGCACTGCAATAAAAAAGTAATTTACACAATTTAAAGGAAAATAAACACCGGGGAGTTTGGAATTATCATGTCACTTCACTCGTCATATGCATGATTGTAAGTTTCCTGTCGAGTCTAATATCTAATCTCTCCTCTAACAATACGATGGTGTCGCACGGGTTTAGCCATAGTGGGGGCACTGGTATCATATGGGGAAAGGAGGGAGGGGCGGGGGCAACTAGGAAAATTAATTTACAGTAATGCAATTTTAGGCCACTTGTTAGGGGGATGCAGAAGGGGTCCAATCGTCCCACCCCTCCCCTTCTTCCAATTTTGTTTCTGTCACATAATTGGGGGTATGTGCCCCCCCCCACCCCCACCAGGTAGCTACGCCACTGTGGATATAATAGTGTGCTTCGGTTGGCACTGTAAGCGTCACGTAGGTGTGCCTGCCTGAAATTGTTCTGAAGTCTCTTGTAATGAAAGTCCCTCGTTTCGTTCCTTCTCCTCCTTCCCTCGCCCCCCTCTCTCTCTCTTCTTCTTTCTTTCTTTCTCTCTCTGTTTCTGTCTCAACCTACAAATGCTGGATACTGGAGCGGTTGTAGAAATTCCCCTTCACCGTTTCATCTTCAACCAACAGCTGGCGTCGTTCCAATAATACAGTCTGTGTCACTGATTATATCAGGAAAGTTCGGCCTCCGTTCAAGTCGGGGCACAATAATTTATGTCTCTGTCTCTTTTTCTGCCTCATTTGCTACTCAATATCTTCCAATGCTGAATACTAGAACATTTGTAAACAAATTTCTGTTACTGTTTCATCTTCTACCAATAGCTGGCGTTGTTCCACTAATACAGTAAGTGCCACTGATTATATTAGGAAAGTTCAGCCTCCGAAGTTCTAGTCGGGGCACAATATGGCAAATAAAACAAAAGAATAGACACGTTGTGACCAACAAAACCCACGTTGGTCAAACTCTGTTTAGAGATGGGTTTGAATACTGTGTGAAGGTGGGGACACACTGATTGTCTTAGCAACTCCTTCTGGGCCCCATTTCACAAAACTTGTCATCAGTGACATATGACATTTTTTGTTATAAGCTAGAGAAATCCTTGATTCGGATTGGTTATCAGCAGAAATTGTCACTGATTTTCATAATGTCATTGAAAAAGGCTTTGTGAAATGGGTCCCAGGACTTACTAAATTGCCTTGTTAAGATGACATCTTCTTGTTACAGGGCTAAAATAATGTTATTGAATGTAAAGAAGTTGGGTAAAATTATCTAGACGTGCCATGGTATAGGTAGTATAGTGGTTCGTTCACTAGATACAAGGTTAAGAGTTCGAATCCCAGCACCAACATCCTGTGGCAAGACATTAGTCCATATAAGACATTGCCACTCGCCACCCAGGAGTGTAAAGAGTAGCTGGCAACTGCTAGGGTACATAATACTCAATACAGGACACTCTAGAAGAGCAGTATTGATCCTGATGAAGCTTTCCTGGAAGAATAGAATTATTATTACTACAGTGAAACAACAGTTTTCCTGACAATGAAGGTCCATTTATCAAGGCATCCTGATCACTACAGGGGAATTTCGTCTACCCTGATAATTAGTCGATTTTGATAGAAGCAGAAAAATGAGAGAAACAAGTAAGTGAAAGTTTGAGCAAAATAGGAATAAAAATAAGAAAGTGATGAAATTTTTGAAGTTGCGATCAATCAACTCAAATTGGCAACTCTGTGACATGTCTTGCAAGAATCCCTTCCATTTGCTTTATGCCAAAAATAATTCAGAAAATTGTATTTTCCTTTAAGAAATTTTTGATCATACAAGCACCCTAATTATAATTATTGCACACATATATCTCTATGCAACCCCTGTATGAAACCAATATATTTCATCATCAATAACTAAGAAAAGAAAGTTAATAAAATTTCTGTACAGAAAAATTGGAGAGGATCTGGCAAGATACGTCAGTGTTGCCAATGTGTTTCACTGATGACAACTTTAAAAATACATAACTTTCCTACTATTAATCAGATGTTGCTCAACTTTCACTTATGAGTTTCTTGTTTTTCCGCTTTTATTAATACTAGCTAATCATCTGGGTAGACTTCCTCTTTAAGCCATAACAAACTAACTACAATAAGGTGAAGAGTTGAATCCCAGCACCAGGAACTTGTGGAGTTGCAACAAGAAGGTGAAATCAACTGCGTACCTGGCGTTAGTAAGACCGCTTCTCGAGTATGCATCGTCAGCTTGGGATCCCTCTACCAAGCAGAATATCAAGTCCCTAGAACGTGTCCAACGACAAGCAGCCAGATTCTGTACTAGCAACTACAGTAGAGAAGAAGGCACAGTCACCAAGGCGCTAAAAGACCCAGGATGGGAATCGCTTCAAACTAGAAGGAGAAACCAGAGACTCGGCATGTTATACAAAATGAAGAATGGACTGGTCGACATTCCTTTGTATGACTATGTACAACCGAATCCCAGAGAAACCAGGAGGAACAACCAGAAGTTCCTACAACTTCGCCACAAAGCTAGAGCCTACCAGGATTCCTTTTTTGTGTCAACCATCAAGGACTGGAATAACCTCCCAACCTCCATAGTAAACAGCCCATCATTAACCACTTTTAAGAACAATTTACTTAAACATTCCCAATAATTTGATTTGAGTCAACCTGCACACAGCGTGCTCTGTCTACAAATACGTTAGCGTGGATGTGTCTGGAAAGGACATTTTGCTGACCAAATCATACAGACAGATATAAACATATGACCAATGGATAAATTCATTTTCATGTGTTTTTCCAAAATAGCAGAAATGCATTTTAATTGGCAGAAATACAAAAACACACAAATTTCTTTAATATGGCAAGAACGCTAAGCAAGGCAAGATGAATATTTGGAAATGTCTCTAGAAAGTTGTACCTTTAGAACTTTGTATAACATATGTACAACACATCAATGGTAGTTTGAAACTACAGACACACGTTGTGTGCTTAGAATATAATTATTATACATTTATTACATTACAAAATCTGTTGAGGGCCATAAGGGTGTTAACTATGTGTAAAGGTATACAAGTTAATGCCCTTCTGGCTCCAAACAGATAATAATCAGGCTTAGGTAGTCTCAATCATGTACCTTCCATTCCCTAGTCGCACCTAGACCAGGGGCGTACGCAGGATTTTTTCAAGGGGGGGGGGGGGGGGGGGTTTTAAAATCGGGCCCAAAATATTTTGCTCCCGAAAAATTTAAAATCGCGCCGGCCGAAAAGTCGCTCAGTGGGGGGGGGGGGGGTAAGCGGACACTTTTTTTTTTTTTTTTGGAGTCCAAAAAAAACGACTCAGCCAGCCGAAAAAAGTCGCTCAGTGGGGGGGGGGGGGGGGGTAAGCGGACACTTTTTTTTTTTTTTTTTTTTTTTTTGGTCTCGAAATTTGAAAATTTGACATTTTTCTCCGTTGGGGGGGGGGGGGGGGGGGGGGTAAGGTCACCTTTTTTAGGTTAGCTGTGGGCATATATATATATATTTTTTTTTTTATAATAAAAAAAAAAAAAAAAAAAAAAAATCCAAAGGGGGGGGGGGGGGGGGGGTTTTAGGTTTTTTTTAGGGGGGGTTTACACACATAAAAATACCAAAGGGGGGGGGGGGTTTGAACCCCCAAAACCCTCCCCCTGCGTACGCCCCTGACCTAGACTGACCAATATTTTCTTGGTCATCAGATAATTTTCTTAAGGTCATTTTGTCCATTATATATCCTCCTGGCACATTTGTATTTTCACAATTGAATACATTAATTTGCATAAACTGAATTATATTCTCCCAATTTGTGATTTTTTTTCTTCTTTTTTCTGTTGAAATCAATGTCCGAACTCGCTGAGAAGTTGTTAGAAGCTAAGTTGCAACTTCAAAGTTGAATTGGCGAATCTTTATAAAGTCATGTACATCTCAATTCTTCTCTACTTGTTCAAGCTATCAAAGTATTTTCAAACGAATCCTAACTACTAACTTTATTTTTTAATAGTAGAAAAGTAAATTTAACACATAAACTAGCAACATATATACACATCATATACATTTCAGTCCATATAATCTTTTGTTGACATTAGTTACTTTCAATCCATAGAATACTTTTGATGACATTTGTTACTTACAAAATAAAAATGGATGTGACATTAACCCGTACTAGAATACAAGTAGAATATATATCCATTCTATCTCTACAATCATTTCGTGTCAATTCATCAGTCAAAGATATATTAATAAATAAATATTATATATTTCAGATATTTATAAATAAGTTTTTGTTTTTGAAATAAATTTGTACAAGCTATTAGCACTTTAAAAGCGCATACGAATATTGGAAACTTAAAACTTGTGCTCAAGTTATTCATATTTCAAATATAAAATATTCTGTTCACCCTGCAATCTGCAATATATCACTAATAACTTTCATATGTACAATGAAAGGAATTAAATTCTTTTGTTTTGAGATTTTAAATAAATATCAAATATTTCATAATGAATACAATAATACTGGGAATGATAAGGAGTAACATGCATATTTCCTGAGTTTAAGTTTCAGTTGAGGCAAGATTCAAATATTTCAAATTAGAATAATAATAATAAATACAAATATGTTCATAAGAAGAAGCAAACAATTCTTCTTTGTACTGTGTATGAACATAATCAGCTGCAATAGAGGGAAAACATGGATCAATGTCAAAATGATAAAACATATATGGTTGATGCATAATGAAAATCATTTAGAGAATAAGAAATGTACATTAGTATGAAGATGAATAAAATTAAGAACACAATCAAATGATTCACTTTTCATAAATGAATAAAGTATTTCACAGAATGACAGAACCACGCCCTCTTCCTTTGTAGATAACCCACCTAGGATAAATGTAATATAATTATGAGTCTTTAATATATATATATATAAATACAATAAAGAACATTATAAGGTACTGTAGGATATTATTCCTCGACATAGAAAAAATACATAGAAAATGAGAACACAAATTGTTCAAGCTTACTTACCATCAATGTACAGGTATTCCAATTTTCCTGCACAATGAGCCATTCTGTATTATCAACTTCAAATCAAAAGTTCTATCCAAAACAAGTTAAAAACAGAAGTATTATTTTATCGTACAATCCTTACATGTACCTACAATTTCTTTTTGTCACTGGTGAAATTTTCATTGCAGAAAATAAAAAGTTTGAAGGAACAAGTTTTTTCAAATACATACTTTGTAATACATGAATACAATCGTCACAAAAGAGAATTTTGTATAAAACATTCAGTACTGTCCGTGTAAACTACTGAAAATTTGGTACTATTTGGCAGCTCTGTATTTATAGATTAAACAGACTTACTCTTCCATGTCAAAGGGTTCAGAGTCCTCGCTATCATTCCCATTAGCTGCTGCAGCAGTAGCGACCATCACCCTCTTCTGCCCAGGAACTGTCTGAGGCTCATCAGGTTCGGACCAATCCGCTGGGTCTGGGCTGCACTCCAGGATGTCAGGTGGGTCCAGTGTCTTCAGGAGTTTGGTTGTTTCAGCAAGGGTGGCGTCATCAATCTTTGGAGCTTTACCGAGCTGGGAGTCTTGCCTTGGAGCTTCCTCTGCGTTGGTAGGGTGCTTGTCACTTGCGTCTTGTTGGTGCTCACTTGCATCTTCCTGGTGCTCACTTGCATCTCTTTGGTGCTCACTTGCGTCTTCCTGGTGCTCAGGCTTGGGCAGGAGTTCCAGCTGCTTGCCCGTCATCTGAGATAGAGGAAATGCTAGAGGATCGCTGTTGTTCTCTTTGGCTGGATCTGCTTCTGAGGTTTCCGAACAGTCCTGTTTGGTGTTGACCTCAAGGATTTTGCTGATGTTGACTGACGTCTCCTCATCAAGAGCATCCAGACCACCTCCACTGGCAAGAGCGGTGGTTGAGGATGTTGTACAATCGGGAAGATTTGCCTCGGAAAGGCTGTGTCCATCTTTGGTTTTGATGCTGAATTTAGGCTTGAACTGTTTCTTGATGCTCTTGGCAGGACTTGTCTGAGTAACTTGGAGATCAGAAGAAGTATCTGCAGGGACATCAGTGAAAGTCACACAAGACTCGAAGGCAACTTTAGTAGTTTGGTCTGTCTCATTAACAATCTCTTTGATGAGCGCTCCTATCTCTTTGCTGACTGAAGACTCTTCCGCAGGAGTTGGTTGTTCTGGAAGCGCTGGGGTTGCTTCTACAGCTTTCCGTTTTGGTGCAGAGAACACTGGCTTCTTTGCTTTCTGGAAACTAGGTTTCACCTTTCCTGCCCCTTTCTCTTTCTTATCAGTGACTTTACCATCATTGCCCTCTTTCTTCTTTTCCTCCTTTCTCTTCGCTTTTGTCTCCTTCTTCACTTTCTTCCTCTCTTCTTTTTCCAAGCGTTTCTTCTCCTTCCTTGCAGCTTTTTCAGCATCATCTTCTTTTCCCACATCTTCAGTGACATCTCCTGCATCACCTTTCAAAGCTTTCTTCTCGGCTTTCTCTTTCTTCTTTAATTCCTTCTTAGCTTCCTTTTCCTTCTGCTTCAATTCTTTCTTCTCTTGCTTGGACTTTTCCTTCTCTTCTTGCTTCTCCCTATCTTTCCTTTCCTGTTCTTCCCCCTTTTCCCTCTGCTTTTTCTCCTCCCTCTCTTGCTTCCCCTTTGCTTTCAGGTCCTTCTTTGCCTGCTTTTCCTTTTCTCTTCTCTCAATCTTTTCTCTCACTTCAAATTCCAATAGTTCCAACTTGCGCATCTCTTCCTCCTTCTTCTTCTGAATCCTTTCCAGTTGTTTGGACAGTTTCATCTCAGAGGTTTGTTTCTCCTTCGATGGTTTCTCTGATCTTTCTCCTCCCCCTGTCTTATGTTTAGATGAACTCTTGTCCTCCATCTTCTTAGATGTCCCCTTTCTCTCTTTAGCAGGTGGTTCGTCGTCTTTGCAACCGTCTGCTTCCCTTTTCTTAGATGGTGATCCTTTCTCACCTGGGATAGAAAAAAACATGCATATGAAGTCCAGGTTACACAATCATGTAAATGTATATTGGATTCTTGGATAGAACTCACATTCCAGCACACTGTTACACAAACCATGAAGAAAAATATACATCAACAATATATTACAGTCAAACCTGGTTTAGTGACCACCTGTCTACAAAGACCAATTTTTTTGTTTTCCTTGAAAATGGTTTCTCATTGATAAATGTACTAAAGGAACCTGTGTACATAGACCACCTGTCAATAAAGACCATGTATTTTTACAGTGTACAGTATTGTATTGCTATTCAATGCAGCGTATAACAAACATTTTCGTGGCATTCAACTTTTGTGAATCTGCACTCTTTGTAAAATTTGCGAAAGTTTTATGCTCGCAACTTTTTTGTTGTTTTACAATACGATGGTTTTCACTTGCACTGGACTTGGCATATTTTACTGTTAATTGACAAGTGCTTTGTCCACACACCATTTCTGCACTTCACGGTACTCCTTGTACTTACTCCCCTCACCTACCGTCCCAGTATAGCCTCATGAGTGAGCTGCCAAAGCGATTACTCAACCAAGTACCAAGTACTAGTAATTAGTATCTTAAACCTTTGAATAAAACACTTAAATCCCCTCTACACTAGTTTGGCCAGGAGGGATTAGACCTCCCTGCAAGTTCACTGGCAGGTGGTTATCTCATCAAATCAGCTCTCAATTAACATTAAAAAAAAGAGGATCATGGTGCAAGAGGACCAACATGCACCGATTAGGCATTGTTTTCTACATAGAGGGCGCAAGTAGCTATAAGTAGTGCAGTGGGGCTTTAAGTGAATGAACCATGCCTTACCTATCTCCATCTCTTGAAGAAGGCTCTCTTGGACCTCATCCTCCACCTCCATGACTATGTTCTGGACCTCTCCTAGAAGTGCTTCGGCCTCATCCAGGATATCATCCATGTCGGAGTGGCTTAGGAGTGAGCCGGGAAGGCTGGAATCCTCGTCGACGATGACCCGTTTCTTGGGTTTGGGGCCTACGATGACCCGCTTCTTTGGTTTAGGGCATTTCATCTTGCGTGGCTCTATATTAGAGTAAGAAGAAAAAGGGTATCATTTGTAACATTGGTAATAACAAGGTGTTTAGTGCATGAAACATGTTCAACAAATAAGCAATATGATTCCAGAACATTGCAATACACAATAATACTTATATGCTAGATGATCAACCTTTTCTGCTTGATTCCACACCCTTTCTTTCACAATGCAATTGCATGACCAGAACTCAACTTTATCTTTAAGTAAATCTTTGGAGGATATTCTTTACCTGCATGTTGACTTTCATCGCTTGTCCTTTCCTTCTCCTCACCCCAGGGACCCTTGAAGCGTGCACTGAATCCAAATGTCTTGATCCTCTCCTGTATTCAACAAAGCAAAAGCATAGGAATCAATCTTTAAAGAGTTAAAACGCATAGAAGTGGGCTCTCCTGGGAATTTTGACACCTTACTTTCTCGGGTATTGAGTGGCAAATATAGATTAATGCCTTGCCAAAGGTCAATAGTGCCATGTCGGGGATCGAACCACAACCTTTAATTTCAAGTCAAGTGCTGAAACCACTCGACTACGACAAATGACAGTGATCCCTAGTTATATTTTTAGCAGAAATGCATTTCAGAAGAAGTGACAGGCGGATGAGTTGGATCAAGTTAGATAGCACATCAAATAACCTCAACCCACTGAAGCTCTTCTTGGTTGGCCATTCTATAACACATAGCAAATACAGTCAAACCTGTCTATAGTGACCGCCCAAGGGAAACACAAAAAGTGGTTATGTGGACAGGTGGTCTTTGTAGACAGATTTATTCAGTACATGTTTCAATGAGAAACCATTTTCAAGGGAAACAAAAAATGTGGTCTTTGTAGACAGGTTTCTTCAGTACATGTTTCAATGAGAAACCATTTTCAAGAGAAACAAAAAATTGTGGACTTTGTAGACAGGTTTCTTCAGTACATGTTTCAATGTGAAACCATTTTCAAGAGAAACAAAAAATGTGGTCTTTGTAGACAGGTTTCTTTAGTACATGTTTCAATGTGAAACCATTTTCAAGGGAAACAAAAAATGTGGTCTTTGTAGAAAGGTTTCTTCAGTACATGTTTCAATGCGAAACCATTTTCAAGGGAAACAAAATATGTGGTCTTTGTAGACAGGTTTCTTCAGTACGTGTTTCAATGAGAAACCATTTTCAAGGGAAACAAAAAATGTGGTCTTTGTAGACAGGTTTCTTCAGTACATGTTTCAATGAGAAACCATTTTCAAGGGAAACAAAATATGTGGTCTTTGTAGAAAGGTTTCTTCAGTACATGTTTCAATGAGAAACCATTTTCAAGGGAAACAAAATATGTGGTCTTTGTAGAAAGGTTTCTTCAGTACATTTTTCAATAAGAAACCATTTTCAAGGGAAACAAAAAATGGTGGTCTTTGTAGACAGGTGGTCACTAAAGCAGGTTTGACTGTGCAATGTAGATGGTGACAAACTCTGATGACATCAATGGGATCAACAGCACCCTGGGGTAACCGAAATAATCATAAATCACATGAGCACGTATCCAGTATTTGCCTTTACTCGGTCATGTGCAGAGTGCATTTACAAACTGGCTAATTACCCTGTTGGAAAAAGCGGTCACACAAGTTCACATTGATTAATCATATGATTACAACTCATTTATCAATGCTCATTTCAGTGTTTACCTTAATTGGTAGTTTCAGCGCCCCGTCTGCTATTTCTTTAGCTGCCTTTATCTTCTGTGAGTAATCATGACCTTTGAGGGTCATCTGTAAAGAAAAGAAAAGAAGTACGATACTATACAGTAATGTTAAAATTTATACACAACATGAAATAACATGGTATTTAAACAATATGTAACTCCTAATAAAATGGCTTAAACCACTGCATGCAATTACCACAATTGAATATTGAGAGCAAATCATTACTATTAATTTTCCTGAAATTCAGCAACAAGCTTACAAAACAAAACTGTTCAAGATTTATATGTTACAGAAACGTGCAGCTCGGTTAATAACAAATAGTCATTTAGTCTCCAAGTTTACCATTATTTATTAAACTGAAAATTATTCCTGTATATGATTTGATCAAACTTAATACATGTATATTTATGTTTAAATTTCATAAAAACCTGTTACCATCTGTTTTTAATATGTTCCACACAAATTCTTCTATTCACAATTACCCCACTCGTCAACGTCTAAATTTACATCACCCACTCTGTGTATAATTCTATATCATTTGTTGGGGTACGGGAGTGGAATTCCTTGAATTATGACCTAAGATCAAGTTCTACAATTACCAGATTTAAATCAATGTATAAAAAAAGTATTTTTCAATCCATGGTTGAGTAAGTACTTCTCTTTCCCATCTTTTTTCTACTTTTATCTCTTTCTGCCCTATTTTCGCTTCCTTCTATTCTTTCTCTGTAACCTTCTTTATGAACGTGCGTGTGTGTTGATGTACGGGTGCGTACTTGTATTATTTAAGTCCTTTACTTTGTATTGTTAATTTATGTGCATTATCTTCTTATAGTTTGTTTGCAGGGCCCCGATTACAAGCAGATTTCTGCTTCTTAGGGGTCCTAACCATTATATTGTATTTTGTATATTGTATTTTCATTGTAAATTGTTTTTATACTGGTTAAATAAATGAAATGAAATGAAAAAGCTGAAAACGCCCCGCCTTCTCATTTTATTTTACCATGGAACAGGTAAGAAGCAGAACCTCCTCGGTATATGTAATAGGGACCATAACCTCATTCAAAAAGCTTCAATAACCATACTGTTGGATGTACTATTCATGGTTTACTTCTTCTTCTTCTTCTCCTTCCCTTCCCCTTCCCCTTCCTCCTCCTCTTCTACTTCTTTTTTTCTTCTCCTTCATTACTACTAATACTACTACCACCACCACCACCATCATCATCACCACCACCACCACCACCACCACCACCACCACCACCACCATCACCACCACCACCACCACCACCACCACCACCACCACCACCACCACCACCATTACCACCACCATCACCACCACCAGACCACCACCACCACCACTACCATTACCACTTCCACTATCACTACTACCACTACTACTACTGCTAATATGGGATTTGTAAATACACTTGAAATCACATGCTTATTTCTAGTTTTCATGCATCTCTCTTCCTCTGAGAACTACTCTTTTTTTTCATTTCTCTCTCTCTCTCTCCACCCTCCCTCCCCCTCTCTCTCTTCTTGTAGAGTACTATCTAATCATTCTTTTCTCTAAAGTTGTAAAGCTATGCTTATGTCTCAGGAAAAACAAAAATTTGTTGGTCAAGCTTCCTCTTTTCTTTGATCACTGACTAAATATCATATCACCGCCATATCCTACAAGTAAAATAAAATATCAATAAATTTCCTCTTTTAGAAATGAACTAGATGGAACTTCGACTGCGTGCAGTCGAAAATGATGCCTCTGTCATAGAGCAATTTTACAAACCAAAACAGAAGAAATTTTTCGAATTCAAGTTCAATTGTAATCCATTAACAGGTTATCAGAATATTGTGATTACAAGCTATTTTTGCATACATAATGAGCCCATGACCTTTGACCTTATGAACCAAGAATCTACTCAGTTCATTGGCTCTGCAAGAAACATACATGACCTAAGTTGGCAGGAATCCATCAATCGGTTCTTGAGATAACGCGATCACGAGCTGTTTTTGCATACATAATGAGCCCTGTGGCCTTTGACCTTTGACCTCGTGACCTCAAAATCTAATCAGTTTTTCGGCTTTGCAAGTAACATACATGACCTAAGTTTGGCAGCAATCCATTAACCAGTTCTTCAGATAACGCGATCACGAGCTCGTTTTGCATACATAATGAGCCCTGTGACCTTTGACCTTTGACCTCGTAACCCCAAAATCTAATCAGTTCATCGGCTCTACAAGATACATACATGACCAAAGTTTGGCAGGAATCCATCACCAAGTTCTTCAGATAACGCGATCACAAGCTCGTTTTGCATACATAATGAGCCCTGTGACCTTTGACCTTTGACCTCGTAACCCCAAAATCTAATCAGTTCATCGGCTCTACAAGATACATACATGACCAAAGATTGGCAGGAATCCATCAACCAGTTCTTCAGATAACGCGATCACGAGAACGGGACGTACGGACGTACGGACGGACGGACAACCCGAAAACATAATGCCTCCGGCTACTTCGTAACGGAGGCATAAAAAGTACCTGTGCTTGATGATCTTGATTTGTAATAAGAGCCAGTCTCTGATTAAATTTTTTCGATTGAATTTAAATGAATAAAAAATAACAGATATATATTTATTTTGTATTTGTTTATTTGTATGACATTTCATACACGAGAGAAATATGACGCACTTGAAAAGGAAGTTGTACAAGCATGGAACTGTAAAATAATCTTGGATATTTTGGGTGACTGATGATTTTGTGATGTATATATATATGTGTATATATATATATATATATATATATATATATATATATATATATGTCAAAAGGGTTGAGGTATAATTTGTTGCTGTATAATACCAACATCACCATGGTTTGTGTCTTTATAATTGCAAACCAGTAAAAAAAAAACATGCAATTTTGCTTATGTGTTTAATATGCACTATATAAAATAGTTTTATTAGTAGTAATTATTATTATTATTATTATCAAAAGGCGTAAAGAGAAGGTTGAGTCCTGGGAAAAGTGAAAACTAATTTCTTATTAATAACTCAGTTTTTATATAGCGCTTATTACAATCACTAAGCGCTTCCAAACTTGAAGATTAATACCCGGCTTTTAGCTGTGCTGCCATTAGATGTCTCTGTAGAAGAGTTTCATAGAAAAAAGTCCCCTGAAGTGAATTGTTCTTCAAATGCCCTCATATAATCAAAATATGACGAGTGATAATTACGTGTACTAGGTTGAGGACAACACTCTCTCACCACATGTTTCAGTGGCGGATCTAGGAGGGGGGGGGGGGCACAGGGGGCATGTGCCCCCCCCCCCACCAAAAAAAAAGTATGTTAAAATCAGTCCTAAATTTGCCCAAAATGTACTGAAAAACAGGGGCGTGCCCCCCCCCCCTGACCAAAAATAAAATTATATATATATATTTTTTATTAAAAAAAAAAAAAAAAAAAAAATTGCCAATGGCAATGCCAACGGAGCAAAATGTCAAATAAAAAAAATTTGTGACCAAAAAAAAAAAAAAAAGTGTCCTCTTACCCCCCCCCCCCCCCCCCCCCCCCGGCTTTTATTCAGCGGTTGGCTGAGTCGTTGCAATTTTTTTTTTTTTTTTTTTTTTCCCATATCCACATTTCTGTGTACAGTGCATGTGACTTTTAGCAAAATATGGGCCAATTTCCTTATCATTTTGATGATTCCCAAACCTCACAGTATATGGTAAACAGTTTATACACCAATAATCTCCAATATTTATGTGTTACATGATCAACATTTTCCGAACGCTTCCACACAGTTTCTTTCACAATGCAACCACATAACGTTTGAGTACACTGGTATATCAAAAACATTTGCACACATGAATTTTTTTACGAATTTCACAGAAACAACAATTTTGCACAGACACAATAATTTTGCAATTCACATAAGTTCTAAGCCCAGATATGCCAATGAAAAAATACCAGAACCCCAGTGAGCCCACTTTAAAACGGAACAGGAAAAGGAAAAGGATAAGGAAGCAAAATGTATGTTCTCACTTCTCTCCTGCTATCCTCATATTTGCTATTTACATGTACGCATATTCAAGACGGATGTTTAAGAAAAGCAGCACCAGCACATGAGGTCATATAAAGCCATGTGCAACATGATAAAGACCACATTCACTGAAATAGAGCTGAAGATTGCTGGTAAGTTTAAACAAATTTCAATTGTCTTGTTTGGTCAAGTTTAAAGGTAATACAAAGTTTTGGTATGGGGTCATGAATTTGGTTCAAATGAACATATTGGAAACATACCGGTATGCGATCCTACAATATTCAGTGATCGTTGTCGCAGTTGAAATCAAGTCTAAAGTTGTTAAATTTTAGTTAATAAACTCTTTATGTTGTATAGCTCCCTCTCAAGGTCAAGATATTAATTAAGCTTTAAAACAATGTTTCTTGACTAAAATCGACCGATCAGCTATTCCTGTTTGGAAATTATATATCACAATTACATATTCTGAGATTTTCATGGTCGCAGCTACCATTATACGGCCGTAGTCGCTATTCGAAATTTATCAAAATTTACCGGGAGCACCGGTAAATTTTTATATTCAATTTTTCTCATAAACAGAAAAGATTTAGGGGCTAAAATTTCTAGTGCTTATAATACATCCAAAGGGGCATCCAAATATATCAAAATTGTAAAGAATCACTATCCACCCAATTTTCAAAATTCCCAAAACTTTGTACTACCTTTAATGTTTTAATATTTTATTTGTGCATTTGTCATTATTACTTTTCCTCCTATACTGATCATACGAAGGAGTAAATAAACACTGTATTAATACAAATATGACTGAATAGCTTGTCCAAGATTGTCTAAGCTGACACTGAAAATGTGTTTACCCTACATTTTTCCCCCTGCAGATTTGAAGTTACGGGTACAGCAACAGACATTTGTTCAGTAACAAGTCTTCGATACATTTCCAACAAAAGAACTTTTAAGCAGTGATTGCTCAGGTCATTAAAAAGATTTGAAGTTACCGGTACAGCAACAGACATTTGTTCAGTAACAAGTC